GGATATAAGATGGAGTATAAGGAATAATCTACATAGAGTATATAATGTACTGACTTGTATAAGTCCTAACATTGCAATTGTAATTGGTATAAGATACTTATTAATAAAAACCTTGCAGATTCACATTTCACCTTTAAAAAAAATAATAATAATAATAAACAGTTTAGTGATTTGTTCAGTACAGTTAATTTTTAATTACTGGTATTGAGGCAAAGTCAAATTCTTTGACAATATCAAAAAAGGCAAACCAAAATTCTTTATTACTGACATTTGTTGTTTAAAAAGCTGAGTGTATGATTGTTAAAGGTTTCAACATGCTTTGTTCAGGCTAAAAATCCTAATAATTCTTTTTAATTTTTTGCAAGGTGCAAGGAATCGATTAACTCTCTATAGAGGGATGGATGCTTTGGAAGTGGCAAAAATCTCTTTGATTAAACTCTTTGCTTTACTGAGTGAAACCTATGTAAGCAGCCTCCAAATAAAGAAAAATCTTTTTACTGTATTCATATACATTACCACCTATCATATTACAAAATACATATACAAAACCAAATACAATCTTCTTTTCAAGAGGCAGTATTTTATTTTTTCTGAGTTTTTGTTTTCTGCTAATAATAACTAGTGCCAGGTTATTTGGCATAACCTTCTGGCTAGTTGTCAGCCCTCGCTCACCTCCATACACAAAAAAACTGAAACCAGCTTACCCCCACCAAAAGATCTACAACACACAAAACACCAATGACATTCTATATCACCAAACCATATCAAAACAATACAACAACTTACTGGATTGGGAGAGCGCATGATCAGTGCCCTGCACGGGTTCCAGTAATCACAACACATAATAATCCACTATAACAAAACAACAAACATCTGAAATATATTCCAATTACCCTACTATAATATTACAATATATCCACATCATATAACAACAACGCAATACAAAAATCACTTGATTAAACTTATCAAGTTACATGTAACTTGCATGATGTCGTCATCTGACTGAAACATTTATTTGTATTTAGGAATCACATTTAACAAAAGCATTAATACTTTTCTGACATCTCTTCTTTTCTACTTTCTTTTTTTTTACTAAATGGCAATCTTGCCCAAATATTTTTTTATTTTTTATTTTTCTTAGTAGATAGTTCCTTTCTTTTTTTGTCTGCTCAAGGTTTTTTGGAAATATATCTACTATAATAGATGGTAGACCAATATATATAACCATATATCTCATATCTTAATATTGATTATATAACATTTTATATTTACTCTATCAATAAAGTTTATAGGAAGTGTCTCACCTTAACATCAAAAAAAATTTTTTTTAAAACTTTAAAAACTTTATGTTTAATATAAAATTTATGTTTTTAATGAAATTCAACTAAATTTTAAGTTAATTATTGTTATATTACAAATTTATATAGTATATTAAAATCAATTATTTTTTTTAAAAAAAAATTTAATAATCTATTTTAAAAACTTTCTTAAGTAAACTTTTTTTTTATATTCTTTAACATATTAATAAAAATTTTTTATTTTATTTTATCAATTAGTTATTGAACTATTATAAAAATAAAAATTCATATATTGTTCAATTATTTTTGTTTTATATTATATATTAGAACTTTTAAAATCAATTAATCTATATATAATAAGAAATATCAGATATATTTTTTGAAGTTTAAATATTCTGACAAAAATCAAATTAATTATATTAATATAAACAATAAATATAATTCATATATTTTATTTTATACAAAAGAAAAATTTAATAATATAATTAATTATCAATTGGTTATGTAAGAAATGTTGTTACTTTCTTTATGTAATAATTTTTCAATTTTTTTTTTTGTGAGGCACTTCTCAAATTGTGATCTTTATTAATTGTTGATTTAATTTTTACAAAGATACATAACTGGATATAAAATTTATAACAATAATGATATATTGAGATATGTTGCTATAAATATCAATCTGCTAATAAGTAAATATATTTTATAAAAACCATAATTAAAGAAATTTTAGAAGTAATTATTTACCAAATTAGGGGTCAGTGCCTCCCTAATAATTTAATTTTTCATCCAGATCTGATGAAAATAAGTTTTCGGTTAGTGAGATACAGTTGAGAAAAATATTTGGAAGTAGAATATTAGAGTGGAGAATATGGTTGTTATTAGTACAGTTTATTGGTATTGTGTTAATGGTTAAATTTTTTTTGCTGAGTCGAGTTTGATTGTTTTTGTTTTTGATATTGTTTTTGTTCCTTTTTTGTTGTGTTATAATATCAAGAATTTTTTTCTGAGAAATCATGTCATCATTTCTGGGTTTCTATATATTGTTGTATATTAGTTTGAGAAATTTGTTTGAGATTTGTTTATGTTTGAAGATTGGGATAGATTTTTAGTTTGGAATTAAGGCAGGGAAGAGGATTAAACCAGTAGCAATTTGTATTATATTTTGAATATTATTGAAACATTTTAGATTGTGTTTGGGAAAGTTATTAATTATTTCATTAATAATTTGTTAAGTTGAAAAAATAATTGGTTTTAATATATTGTTATTAATTGGACAGTTCCAAATATGATTAATGGTTTCTTCTGAGCTGTTGCAACGTGGGCAGAGATTATTTGGATAAAGACTAGGTTTAGTAGTGTGAAAATAAGATTTGGTAAAGAGGCTGTAGGAAATAATTTTAAGACGAAAGTTATAAATGGCAGATTCTGAAATATTGGTGGGTATTAATATTGATTTAATAAATTTGAGAATGTAAGGAAGATTTTAGAAGTTGGGTTGAAAGGTTGTTAGAAGTCTATTAAGTTTAAAATATTAAAAGTTCTAAAAAGATGATTGATTTTTTTAATGTGTTTTTGGATAGGAGGGAGTGGTGAGCCAAAATTATTAGTTAGAGTATACAAAGAAGGTTGAGAATTGAAATGTAGATTTATTAAAGTGGTTGTTAAATTGTGAGATAGAAATGCATTGTGTGAAGGTTTGTAAAAGGAGCAGTTTGTTTGCAAGAATTGAATACTTTGCTTTAAGTTATTAATTATATTTTTATATGATGTTTTGCAATTTGTTTAGTGATTTTTTGAATTAGAATAAAATATTGATTTGCTTATTTTGTAGTTTTTTAAGAAGAAGATTGTAGTTGATAATGGTTTAATAATGAGAATTGGTTGGATAAAAAGCAGAAGGGATAGAGTTGAGTTGTGGAAAAATTCATGTTTATATGTTATTGATTCAAAAAGATCCGTCCATTTGATGATGGTTTTGTTTTGATTGGTTTCTATTGATAAGTAAATTGTTTTTTTAATTGATTTTGTTGAGCAGATAGTAATTAGGTTTTAATGAGATAATTTTTTGATTTTACAATTATAATAAAATAATAATAGTTACTTAATTTTTTAAAAAAAGAATTGATTTTATTGTAAAAGATGATTTTTTTAGCAAAAAAAACAATATATTAAAATATTTATTTTGTTTAAAATGATTTAATTTTTTTTATTTTCTCTTATATAATTTTTTTTTTAAAAAATTAAAAAAAAAAAAGGTTTATATTAATTTAACAAAAAGCTTTAATTATTTTTAAAATGGATTTAATTAATAAAATCATATAATAATTTAAATAAAAAAAAACAATTATATAAATTAGTTAAAAAAAGTAATAAGTCTTGTTATAAGTATATTTTGACTATTTCAATCAGCAATAAAATAATAAAAATCAAATGATTTATTTAATTATAGGTAATAATAAAATTTTACAGAGCTATAGGCTTATTAATAAATATTATATTATAAAAATTTTTTTTATTATCAATATTACTTTTATATTGTTTATATCATTTGTTCTTTTATTAATAATTAATAAATATATTAATAGTTTAATTAAAAAAATTGTTTCCTTGATTTTTTTAAATACATTGATTTTTAAAAATAAAATACGAATTCTTGAAATTAAGATTATACTGTATTTTGAATTTTGTTATAACTATTTCAAGCATCTAAAGATTTTTTATTTATCTTAAAAATAGAATTATTGTATTTTAACATAATTTTCATTCCATTAATTCTAAAAATAAGTAATTTATAAAACAAATCAAACCATTGATTTTTTTTTTTTAAAAAAACTTGGAATCTGCGAGATTTGCTTATAGTATAATAGTAATGTTTAAAAAAAAAAGAAAGAAAGAAAGAAAAGATTTCAATTATTAAAGAAAAGTATGAGGGTTTTACGCTATAATGTTTTTATATAATTTTTAAGGCTTGAGGTGTGAAACAGACTTGGTTCAAGTATATCTAATACTGATTTTCTTTATCATTTTTATATTTTTAATCATAAACTTAATCGAATATTAGATGAAAATATTAAAACTTTTCGTGTTTCCTGTTGTAGAAGCCTATCTTATTTAACAATTTGAAGACACTTATATAAAATTTTAATAGAAAAAAATTATTCTCACTATCATCACTATTTCTACTATTTCTATTAGAATGGTAATTCTTATTCTTTGAATCCCGAGAATACTAGAAAAAGATTTCTGGGATCCGCGATCTCTAGTCACATGATAAGAATCGATCCCGACTTTCATCGTAATTTTCGAATTTATTATTTTACAACTTTATTTTGAAATTAATCTATAAATATATCGATGAATACTATCCACATAATATGATGATGTATTAATATAACCATAATATAATTACATAATTAGTTAAGTACAACAATTCATTAAAAAATTTTTTTGCGAACAAAAGGTAGAAGTACACGTAGATTAATGAAATTACCGATAAAAATAAATAATGTGAAATTCGGAATCAAGCTATTCACTAGAGAATATCCTCAGAATATTTGCCATCATTTGTTCTAATTGTAATAGCAGTGCGAAAACCTATTTATGGCAAGGAGGCAATAAGCATATGTTTCTTATTATATAATGTTTTTTTTCGATCTCTAGTCTCGATCAGCTTTTATTCGAACCTTTAAGTGAAAATTGACCTCATAATTGTTTCAAGGAATTTACGATCTTGCATGATCCCTCGCCCTTTATATAGCATACTGGCCACAGCTCATCTGGAAAATCTAACCATCTATTAACCTTTTCATGTCTCTTCCCATTTATAGTAAATTTCATCCATTTCTCATCCATATTCACAGTTATTTCCACTTTCACATCTATCTTATTCTCCCATATACTGTTTACATAAGTATCGTAAAACTCATCCGCGTATTTATGTCTATCTTCTCCGTGATAAAATAATCCGTCCGATCCAAGTATCCATGCATATACTTGGTTTTCAACCTTTCTCGGAAAATTATGGTTAAATTCTTTTGAGCACACACCCATTCCTACGTATTCTGAGCTTTTAATATGAACCGCCCATGAGTATGTTCCAGCAGTCATCAGAAGATTTGAACGAACACTTTTCCACGACTCAGATAATTTGTCATCGTTCACATAAACCGTGGAATTGTTATCGGCGAACTTTATCCCTGGGCTACAACAATGCTTGTCCCATTTGATTGCAAAGGGTTGTCCTATGAGTTGTAAAGAATGAGAAATATTTCGACTATTTCCTTCTTTATTATTTCTAGGCTTAGGTGGTATGGGTGGCTTTTTCTTGCGGAAATCACTTTTTGGCAACCTATTGGAAATCTCAGTTGATATCGGAAACTTTGGACGTGGGTTAGTCGCATGAAACCTATACGCCTTCGTTATGATCTCTTGGTTAATAATATCCAACGGTTCTATTAATTTCTCCAAGATCATCGCATCAATCCTTTGAAAATCAATGTATTCAAGTAGTGGAGTGACAATGTGAGATATATCTCGGCGGATATTATTATAAGTAGCCAACATGTCATTCTTACATAATATAGGCGGATAATTATTCTTAATATTATCCCAAGTGGGTAATCTATTTTCTAAACTATAAAACGCATCTTTTGATACCGTTCTAGCTGATAATAACAATGCGTACCGGAGCACTGTATATTCTTGTGCCTTGAATATTTTATTACTGTGATAAGTAGACATTAGCAAGTATTTCAATGCCCTCAATGATAATCGACCAAACTTTATATTGTCTAATGGAATTTGTGAGACTGCCTCTGTTAGTAATGTCAATATCTCACATTCGGTATTTTGGGGGGAACATGGGGAGAGAGGAACAGAAATATCGTCGTCCGATATTGGTAAAATGTGATGCATCAGTTTAACGGCGTCATTGAGCAACTTCGGTGCAATATCTCCTCTATTTTCCCGTTCACAGGCTTCTCTTATAAATTCCACAATTAAATTTTGTAATTCCACTAGTTGGAAATAATCTGCCGTGACATATAATTCAATTACATTGCCAAAATCAACCAAATCGTATTCATCATCGTTTTCTCCTCCAAGATCATCACTATCTTCTATCCTGCCGCACAATTTTCCAGTATAAATAAACAAAAGTATAATTTTCATGATATCTTCGGAAATCATTCGAAAATATATTTCTTTGGTTTCAATGTAGTCGAAATCAGATAATATTTGATAAAATGTTTCGGAACGAGCAGCAAGAATTGCACGGCATGCGTGGAGCGGAACCGAATCCTTACATATGATTTTGATATCCCCATAGTTTGGATTATTAAACATCTTGCACATGTCGGTCATCAACGATTTTCCACGGATGACATTTGGTTTCCCTTTAGCCAAGTTAATTATTACAAATAGTGAAATTGGAAATTGGAAGAAATTTTATCAATGCAAAATGCGAAATTGGCACGATAATGTATTTAATTACTCGTAAGACACTTACTTGCTATCGTGATGTTTTTAATATCCGATCCATCTTTTATTGGCGGATAATCTATAGTAGAACAGAAATATCAATAGGGAATTCTTGACATTAGTGAGAATGTTGGAGACTTGCTTACTATACATGTTATAAGGAACGTTGACATCAGTGAGGTTTTGAAAATCGTCTGATGACGACCGTTCGACTCGTTTAACTCGTTCGACTTTAGCCAAATGATAAATTAGAAAATTAGAATATGCAAATTTTTTCAATCTCATCGAAAAACATACACACCAGTATAATTGCTATTTTTTTGTAGGAGAGATACTGTTTGACGGAAGTTATAGGGTGAAGAAAAAGTTTATTAATTGAGAAAAATAGAGGGCAATCCGTAAACATCATCGTTCTGTCGTTAGAAACTTACCTTTTCGGTATAGAGACATGGTTGATATATCACTTTTTTTGTTCTCGGTGGTAGAAAATGACTTGATAAAAAACAAGAATTTTAAGAATTTATCAGAAACAAGTTCTGTACTGATACTTTCAAGTCAAACGTATCACGGCCTAAAATTCAATGGAATTTCTGTTTTACGTGAAACACGGAATTTAGATTGCGGTATACGCCGATGCACTCCGTACATGTATAACTGATGTTCATCGTGACTTTTAAACAAAGAGTTATATTCATTTAAGTCAATAAACACGTGAAGCTCCGAAATAGTTGACGGTAGATTTTCTTCAAAGTATGTTGAAAAGTGAATCACTGTTCAAATGCCTTTAAAATAATAAAGAGAAATGGGTACACCGTATTCATATTGTACATCGCCTACCAAAAATGAATCATTTAATGTAAATTTTGCATTCGTTACGTCCAAGTATATTTTGCTTCACATATTGATAGGGATAAAATTCAGAAAATGATCATTAAATTGTTTTAACTACCATTATTTTGTTTTTCACGTTTCCTCAACGGAATCTGTAAATTGCCGATTCATTTTTTTTATTGATTCCAATTATTGCAAGGATTTGCGTAAGGAATTTTACTGTGGAAACCTTTGTGTTACTATTCACATAATACAGTATGGCGTACAGCAGTACAGTAATGTACTGTACTAATTTGATTGATTAATTTGATAAATTATTCGTACTTTATTTTTACCAAGTATGTCGATAATGGAATAAAACCTATATTTAAATTAATGCAATTGCGTTTTACTCTCCTTTCTTCAAAATTCAATAGAAATAGTCAAGACGTTTCCGTTTAAACTCAGCATGCATTATGTATACGTGCTAAAGTGCATTAAAGACAAATATTATGTTGGTAGGACTATTAATATGACCAAAAGATATAATGAGCATAAGAGTGGAGAGGAGCGCGCCGCAATGTGGACACGAAAATATCAGCCAATTAGTATTAAATGGACAAGAATGACCAATAATGGCTCTTTGGAACTGGCAAAAACTCTTGAATACATGAAAATATACGGCATTGAAAACGTAAGAGGTGCCTGTTATAGTAAGGTTGATTTGCACGAAGAGGATTATCAGTCTATTCATCATGATTTACTACATATATGTTTTCGCTGTGGTGAAGACAGACATTGGGCTCACGAATGCAATAAATGTAGTAAATGTAATAGCGTGAAGGAACTTTGTTGTTGTGGCCATATGTGTAATAAGTGCTATCGAAAAAATCATTTTTCAATAGACTGCGAGTTCAGCTGCTACAATTGTGGCAGACCCGGTCATTATACTCAAAATTGTAATTATTGCAATGAATGTGACAAATATGGTCACCATTCAAAGAATTGCCATAAGAGGTGGCTGGTGTGATAATTATTACGATCACAATTTTATTGATATATTTAAAGAGCTTATTTATAGTCGTTTTCTTATGTTATAATTTTTAAATTTTTAGTAAATTAGCTTTAAGAGAAAATCAATCTGTAGTTTAGGGTAGCAATAAAAGTAAATTTGTGTTTCACATATTGCGTATTAAAAAAATACGAGTGAAATCTATCATGTTTTTAAATGATAATGAATATCACGTAAGTAAAATAAGGTAGAGAAAATGAATTGATTATGCAGTTGAAGAATCATGCACGAACTAATTTTTATTTTTCACAAATGACACGTATCACGTGATTAATTTACAAATTAGACAATCCCTACTTTCCGGTACCGCGAACTGTATTTACTATAACTAAGAATAAATTTTGAATACAGTATAAGAGCTAGAAGGCTTGTTAAATAACCTATATTTAATAAGTAATCTTTCTTGAAAGAAATTACGAACCGTGCTCCATCAGCGTCTTATTAGTTTAGTCGTACCAGAAACATATTCATTAGAGCATACAATAAGAAATTCGTATAAAACTAAGGTAAAATTGAGTGAAAACTGGCTTCCAAAACTTAATCACCGAGTCCTTAAATGTTATACAAATATCTTTTAATAAGAGACTAGGATAAAATGAAAAATAAGAATGTGGTTAAATCAGGTAGAATATTGTTAACCATGATTGTAAAATAGATATTGACATAGATAACTCATCATACCTAAAAAAATTCAATACTGTATCATCACAGAATTTTTGGAATAAAGTATTAAACTATAAAATAAGTAATCATAATAACTGAAAATGGATATCACCAGGAACAGTTATTCCTGAATGTTTCTACAAAATGGAAACGGAGCTTTAAAGACCATGAAAAACATTTTTATGATACTTGAAATCAGTTAAAGGTGAAAGTTACCTACACAATGTATTCTTTGATACCGCTGCGAAAATGGAATTGGAAATATTACGGCATCCAGAAAAAATGCAACATCTGTATATTGGTCCTTAATCACTCAATTCTAAAAACTCAACATTAAATATGTTCGAAAAACTGCAATATCTAAATATTGATGTTGTCTTTCAGAAAAATATATTAATACCAAATTACCATTATTATGGTAATGCAATAAATCGCATACCTGCTATGCATCTCTTGGCAAATATTAAAAACTAGGTAAATGGTGCCCATATTGTGCTGATAATCATCTTACTCTTAAAGATGCTTAGCAAATTACATATAATAAAGGAGGACAATGTCTCTCTATCCAATAAATTAATAATATAACTCCATTATTATGGAAATGTAATAAATCAAATGAATCCCGTGATGGTATAAAAAATCGTAATAGTGTAAACGGTGTCCACAATGTGCAAAATGTGGGTTTAAACTAAGTCTTGCTGAGATGCAAAAAACTGCTTATTTGCGTCTTCCCAAAAAAATACATCAAAATGGCGTGCATATTTTAATTCAATAAGAAATCAACAGTCCTGGTGTCCATATTACCAAAAATATAAACGTGAAAATTTATGTTGTGAAATATCTTGGACCTCCATCAAAAAATCGTTGGCCAGATTTCTTAAATTTCTTAAAAAAAGTCGAAACAACCTGAGGACTACAACTTGATATTTACTATTCACAATATGGTTTTTCTATATAAATTCAAGGAGTACAATATGAAAAATACATTATATTTTCACAGAAGTGATCCCAATAATTTCACTAAACAAGAGCGGGAAAAACTCAAGAAAGAATCATGCGAAGAAAATTGGATCGTTTTAAGGTATGTTTGGTACTATGAAGACCCATATGTAATTATTCCAGAGCATCTTCGAAAGTTGGACCTTATTGAATAAACTTAAAGCTTTAATTACTTTGTGTGAGTATAAATTTCCTCACAATATTCCCCAGAATATATCATGAGGGAATAAAGTAGTATAATACAGCGCAGGGCCAGTATCGATCAAGAAAATTTATTAATACTCTGATGTCACCACACCAGTATATACTCCGAATCTTGAGTTGATCTTTATATTGTTGATACGCTCATATCATTATCTAATGAGGCCACGAATATGATGCTAAAATATCAAAAATGGCTCCTATCACTATGTTATATAACAGGATCATATCCTTTTGTGCCTGGGCCTTATACAATGCACCTGCGTATTCTTTCCGATCAGGTTGTTGAAAAACGGGGAGTGGAAAATCATTACGAGCAAGATAAAGCATCATGAGTAAACGTCCAACGCATCCATTGCCATCGAAGAATGTATGTGTATGAAGGAAGGATGAAAGAATGCAACATGTTCATAAGAGAGTGGATTTGATATGGTTTATGATTGTCATTATTGCTAGTGACTGTCTTGTTCTAAAATTGTACGAATCTTTCCGTCAACGCAGGTCTTCCTCTCCGTACTATAGGGAACAAAAATTGAGATATAATCGAAACTTGACAAGTGGAGATTAATAAACTTCACTTACCGGATAAATGGTCAAATGATAACCTACTGCCTGCATTGACACAGTTCGAAACATTCCTGCTTGCTGAATTTTGCCACATACATCAACTCTCTCCTGTGGAGTATCTTTCAAAGGAGTACAATGGATCTTCTTTATATTATCGATTTTTATTTCTTGTTCTAGCTTCAACAAGGTATTATATAAGTAATGGGTCGCAAGCAAGTGGTTATGGATTTCGACGACTTCGATTTCTTTTCCAGGTTTATCAAGAAGAGATTTTGGCTCAGGTAGTTGTGCTTCCTCATTTTGCAAATCGTCAATGTTATAGTCTTTGTTCATTTTTTCCCAAATGATTTGAGATTCTGCAATTCCTAGTGAATTTCCCTCTATGACGCAACTTTGATGCGAAAAAACTTACAAACATACGTTAAAGATGATCTTTAATCGGGATCTCGATATTATCTTTGATGACAGATATTTCATCTAGAAAACTGGAATATTTTGCACAAAAGTCTGTCAAGAAAGCAAAATAATTTAATGTCATTTCGAGCAAAAAGTCGCGAAAACATTAAAAATTTACTAATCATACCATAATCCTGTGCTCGCCATTCAAACAGATGAAAATAGCTCTCCAAGACCTTTTCAGATTTACAAATATTCTTTCGTCCCCTTCTTCAATTTCGAGAAAGAGAGAAAAGTAAGTGTTATTTTATGAACGAATGGTCTGAAATACACATATTCAAAAGATACCTCTTTTATTAAAGCATTTCTCTCTTCATGCTGAGCTACCGAAAAGTGTGAACGGAGCCAAAAGCTGTTACGGAAATAAGTGAAAGCAGAACTTTTCAGGGGAAGAATTAATTTTCTATATAGCATAATGAGTGTAAAAAATTTTTTCTATTGTCTAAACAAAATACATATGATACAAATTGAGTCACATACTGTATCTTAGGGATTGCTAGTCCCACATACTGACATATAATATGTTGCAAAAAAATAAAAGCAATTCACATAAAATTTTAAACATGTAAATAATATACCTTGACAAATATATATAGTATATATTTAAAATTTCAATTTATTTTTTGTTTATAATCAAATTCCTAATCTAAAACTTTCTATATTATACTCTTAAATTATCAAATATTAATAACAATATATCATATTCAACTATTTCAAGATATCTGACAAAAATAAGTTATAAAAATAAGTTATTTTTAAAAATATTTATATTTATTACTGCTTATAAAAATACTCAGGTAATTTAACCAAAAAAATAGTTTAATAATAATTCAAAAAAACTTTATTCTTTGATAAAATAACATTTCAATTATACATGTTTCCTTATTACCATAAAAGGAAATTTGATCAACAATGCAATTCCAAATTAAATATGATTCCCAATTACTTACTAACTGTTACTTAGTAATACAAACATAATATGGTTTTTGAAAAATGTTTGAATTAAATACACACATGTATAATTTCAATTATTTGAAAACTTAATTATTCAATAATTCAAAAATAAAAAATCAATTAAAATAATACTTAATGACTATATAAAAATTTTTGTTTTAAAGAGATTTTATTTAAAAAAATTATAAATACAAAATTTTATATTAATATTTTACAAATTTTAAATGAGTAATTAAAAAATTATATGAAAACAATTGAAACTTTTAATAAGATAATAATTCTAAATATATTAATAACATTACTAAAAAAAAATTAAAAAAAAATTTTTTTTGAACTTTTTTAATATTTAAATATAAAATTTTTTTAAAGTGAAATATGCACAAGGCATGTGATCTTTATTAATACATTTATATATCCAGACAGATTCCAAGTGTCTTTATAAGTTAACTAGAAATCAGTTGATGCATAAATACCCATTATGTTTCTATAGCTAATCTACAGATTAACACTGCCTAGTACATATATTGCTATAAAACTAGTATTATATATTATTTTTACCTCAAGAAAAAGATATAGACAGAAAACTAGTAACAGGGAGACACTTTAGATAAATAAAACCAATGTGGTGTACTAAAGTTCCTAAAGGCATACAAATTATTACAATTCTGAGATATATAAGGTCAGGCAAAAGAGGCAATAGTGATTTGTTTTTGTAAAAATCAAAATATTTATTTAATAAATTATAAGTTCAAGCTTGCCAATTCCTAGGTGAAATTGAAACCTTTATATATATATTTAAGTTATAATATTTTTGCACATAATAAATATATGCTAGAGTAAAATATAAACTAAAATATAGATATTATTTTTGTCAAAATATTTAACTGTATTAGCATTTATATAGATAAATACTTTGGCAAAGATAATATAGAAAGTAAAAATAAAATAAAATAAAAAATTCTAGAAATGGTAAAGGTACAATAGATACAATAGATACCAAAGATGTAGTAACAGATCTGTAATACAAAACTATTGTAGAACAGCTAATATTTCAAAAGTTAATACTAGTAAAAATTGGACAAGAAGTAGTGAAGATCTTGGGCAAAAACCAAGTGTAACAATTCTCTTCTACTAATCTATAAGTTCTACAAATTTAATTTTGTATTAGAATAATAAAATCAGAGTGGGACAATTGTCTAATTAGGCAAATAGTAGTGGATCAGGTCCTATAAATTTGATGGATTTCAACTTTGCTAAAAAGGCAATATGTGTGTATAGAAGCTGAAGAATAATATCTATTAATCTGTGAATTTAGATAAGATCTTTGTATTCAGCTGGGAGTTGTTTCCAATAATTTCTCAAGATAGTAAGCATATACAAGAGTTATAATCCTGTTTCTTCTTCAAAATGTCCTTTGTAATTTCTGATAGATTTTCAAAAGTTGTATTTCAATAGTCTGCAAAAGATCATAGGGGACTGGTGCAACATCTATATCTTCAAAAGTGTTTTGCAGAAGATCTTTGACCAAAATAGTATAAGCAGCCATGGAATTATTAATTACATGTTATGAATGTTCAAATTTGAAAAAGGAGCATGTTGTTTAGGGCAATCGTCCTTTTTATAGATTTTTATAAGTATTTTTGAGATTTCACCATGTTGTGTATTTAAGATCTTCTTGAAAATTATTTGATAAGTAATTATCAATCCAAAATTCTTCTAAAAATATCTAAAGAAAATCATTTGTCAAACTTGCCCTGGTCTTAGAAATTCATCCTGGAAACAATTGTATTGCTTCAAGAAAGAGTCAAAATCTTGGAGCATCAAGTTCATCAAAGAGAAAGGTTTAGGGCTTTGAAATCAGGAGTGAAAAAATTAAAAAGAGAATTGAAGATACTTTAGAATGCATACTTACTTCACAACCTCAATAGGAAGTTAGAGTTGGAAAACTTGAACTTGAAAACAGAGTATTTTATCTGGAAAATCTTTTTTGCCTGTTGGAAAATCCTGCATCTGCTCTTTTTGATGAGTTTTTTTTTTCTTTTTCATTTAAATAGAGATTTGCTTTACATTTCATTTTCCTTGCATTTTCTTTTTCAAAGTTTGTGAATTCATTGTGAGAGATGCAGTAGTTACTGAGTATGCTTTGTGGACCAGCTGTAATAAACAGGGAGTGCTTTGTGAGCCACTTTCATTATACTGATCTTTCGCTTATTTTTCTAATTTCTTTAAGTCTTTCTTTTTGTTCAAGGGTTTAGTAATACTTGTATTGAGTTTGATACAAGTAGAAGATTGGGTTACTTAAACATCTGTGTCCATGTCGCGTAACCTGGGTACTGAACTCTTTAGTAGCTAAAGGATGCTTCTTTCTATATATGTATGTCAGGTTCTTATACTAATTGATCAAAATATGATTTCAAGAAAAAGAGATTAATTGGAGTGGCAAAAACTTTTCCTTCTGTCGTTCTAAGCTTAAAGACATCATTAGGCTAGACATTATAAATATAGAATAATTCTTTTCATTTTGGTTTCAGTTTTCCTGTAAAATTTTTGTCTCTGGCAGCATCATACATTTGCACTGTATTTCCAATTTTGAATTTCTTGTACTTTGTTACTTTTTGGTCAAATCTTTGTTTTTGTCATTGTTGTTTCTTGTGAATATTTCTTCTTGTTTGTTCTTGTTGTTGTGAAAGTTCTTCTAATAAAGTATACAATTGATTAAGGATTGTTATATCAGGAAATTTTTTAGCAAAAATCTCTGAAGATCTTCAGGGTAGACCTCCGAAGGACCTCCGTCATCGTTAAAAGACTCCAGAGCAAAGGTTACTATATTAAACTCTGGAGATCTTCAATTATTTTAATAATAATAAAATATATTTATATTAACATATTATAATCTATTAATATTCAATTTTTAATGTTTATTTTA